GGTGATTGTTCTCTGATTCTCATCGCTACTGTGACACATCACATTACACATTTGATTCATTGCTAATACAGACGTGTGTGTCATGTGGCTTTGACAACAGAACTTTCCCTACTTTTACTCAGCACTTGTGGAACGTAAGCTGTTAGTTTAGTGCACTGACATTCAAATCAGCAAAGCACAGAGGCAAATGATGGGCAAATGGATGCACAAACCCCCCTTGCCCTCCATTCGCCCCAGAGTGGAGCAAAGGTGTTTGCACCTGTACTGCTGGAGTTCAGCCTCCAGCTGGGTGATCCTGGCCTGCAGCTGCGGGACAGACTGAGCCTCCTCCTGGATCATCTGAACCCTCTGAAGCCCCAAGCTCAGAGCCTCCCTGGCCTCCTGCGCCCGCCTCCTGATGGAGATTATCAAACAATTCTTCTAATAGCTCTCCATTCAAACTCCATTCAGTGAACTTAAAACACCTCCAACCTGATCTGAGCATTCTCCTTCCTAAGTGCAGATTTCACCCCCTGAAGCTTGCGCACCTCCTGGTACACCCACCGCAGCTCCTCCTCCAAACACTCATTGAATTTGATGGCCTCCTCCAGCTGCCCATCGCGTGAGGAGCGGATCAGCTTCAGCTCCCTCAGAAGGGGGTCCCTGATGTCCCGTCTCCTCGCCTCCTTCATCGCCCTGTCTCCTCCAGCTCTACTGCACTGTCCTTTGATTCTGCGTGTTGGTACCAGTTTTCCCTGTACAAGGGTGGTGGAGGTCGTGGGAGTTAAAGCAGTTGAGTTGAAGCTGGATGGAGAAGGGATGGTGCTCCTGCCCCGTCTGAGGGCCACCTCCAGGGCCAGGCAGCGAGCGTCACTCCCCTGCAGCGCTGAGCGGAGGTCCTCCACCAGCTCTCTCAGAGCTACCACCACATCTGGAGAGGAGAGGGCAGAGGGGAGGAGAGGGGAGAGGAGAGACTGTTAACAGGGTAGTGCAGTGGATAAGATCCATGCCTTTGGTGTGAGAGACCCGGGTTTGAATCCACGGTGAGACACCAGTGGGCCCCCGAGCAAGACACTTAACCCCTAGTTACTCCAGAGGCGACCTCTGGATACAAAAGACCTCTGAATAATAGGATAAAAGCGTCAGCTTAATGAATAAATGTAATGCATGTAAAGTGAAAGTGAAGTCCTCCTGGAGCAGAACAGGAGCTGTGTTCAGGCCTCTGTTGCTACTTTGCCACACGTCTTCATGTCAGATCACGTTTCAGTGACATTAAGTACTGCACTACTGTACCTCCATTTTATGCTGCTACACAGAGGGAAATACACATATACATACATAACATATGGTGGGTGTATAAAGTCACCACATAACTGTTGATTAAAAGTTCAAATGAGCTCTACCTCCAACAGCTACAACAGTGAAACTAATCCAATCATACTACATTGATATTGTAGTATTAGTAACACTGATAACAAACATAAGAAACCTTTTGAAGGCAGGTGGAGTATTTTTTATACCTGAGGGATCAGGATACCTCTGGCGTTGCTGCAGGATGTGTACCTGATGGAGAGTACCCGGCCACAGGAGCCGTTAAAATGCAGTAAAAACGTCCTGGTACAGTACCTGACTCGCGGTCTTCTGCTGTTCCAACTTTAATTGAGCTGTTCCGTTCATGCTGATCCCTGGTCAGCTCACATTTCCGCCGTCTGACTCGCGGCCACCGGAGGCGGATCTGTCGCTCCACCAGCTCCGTGTCCTCAGCAACGGGCAGGCGCCAGGCACACTCCCCGGTACCTCTACGAGCACTGCGGACGCGGAAATACCCACAGAGCCGCGAGTGGAAGTCTTTAAAGGACAGCTGGCGGGGCAGGCCAGAATACACATCCCGAAACTCTTCATCTTCTTCAGCTCCAGTCCCTTTCCTTCCTTTCGCCGTCCTCTTTCCTCTAGTGAGTCCCAGCACGACGCACAGCGCTGTGAAATCCTCCGCCGACACGGTATCGTCCCGGTTGGGGTAGGCCAGGTGGTGGAACACCTCCTGTAGGTATTGGTCTATTCCAGTGGCCAAGACGACGATTTCGTTTTCCACGCCGAGATCGGGGCAGTGGTGATGGACCAGGGCGCTCCGGAGCCACTCGCTTTTACGCGCGGCTCGTGGCTCCAACTGAAGACGCGACAGGGCCAACGTAGGACGCTCCATGACTGCAAATAAACCAGCAGCTTCTTCTAGATATGTCCAAATACAAGTCAGATTACAGGAATTAGCACAGGATGTGATTTCAAAGCAGGATTAGACTAAAACACATCCCGGTGTATAGTTTGACGCTGCGTAATTCCCTGGAAACCTCTCCTTGGATTCTTCCCGGATCATCAAGTCCCCTCGTGCAGACTGTAGTCCCACTGCACCGACTCCACCCTTTCGTGAGCATTCTCTGACCGAGGGTGTGTGTGTGTGTGTGTGACTCTAGTGCAGTGGGCTTAAAGTTCAGAACGCAAGAAAGTGAGTCTCCTAAAGTGAATCACATATCAAGTATTCAAGCCATATCTGTCTCACAGCGCTCCTCCACAAGTAGCACTGATTCCTCTTAGTTGAGTTTATCTGATAAATGATCAGCATGAAACGTGTTTGAGGTAAATGGTGTCCACTGCAGAGACTTGGGCCATTTAGTGTCATCCAGTGACAAAAACAAACCACCACAATCCAGAGTGAGTCATGGTGGGTTTCAGTTTGCACCTTTACCAGAATGAATCTTAAGTGGCTGTGATTCACGGCCAGAGTGGCAGCAACAATAACAAGGTCAAATTACTCCTGATACTCTGAGTACAGTCGCCCGCTGTTCTCACTAAAACCAGGCCCAGGTCATCACCTGGAAGTCAAGAGTTAATTTGTTTCCAGGAAATTTAGCAGCTGCCAGAGGAAACACCTTTCCCCACCCTGACTACCACTTGTCACACATCTGACAGCCAAAACAAAGAGAGCGTCTTGACTACACTCACTTAGGCAAGACTAGACCACACCACACAAATTAAAGATGCGTTACACTCTGCTGCTGTGCCTGCCTTACACATCAGAACTAGTGCCAAAACAGTTTGTCAGTGAATCCATTAAACATCATGTGTTTACATGATGTTTAATGGATTCAGCTTCTCACTTAAATTCAATAGCTTTGTGTTTTGGACTGTTACTCAAACACTCATTTGAAGGCGTCCTTCTTTGGCTCTTTATACAAACGTCATTAAACCCAAGACAAATACAGAGAGTACAAACAGGATTTGTACACACACTCCAGATACGCTCTTTTGATTCAAGGCATAGCTGAAATCTGTGGGTGGTGATGGCGCATAGATAAGATTCTTGCCTTTGGTGTGGGAGACCTGTGTACAATCCCCACTGTGACCCATGCACTGAGCAAGATACTTAACCCTTAGTTGCTCCAGAGGCGTGTGACCTCTGACATGTACAGCACTTGTAAGTCACTTTGGATAAAAGCGTCAGCTAAATGAACAAATGCTGAACACAGAGACTAAACACACAGGTGTGCAAAAAAAAAAAATGAAGCTACAGGTGGTTAGCCTACCTTAGCATAAAGACTAGAAACAGCTAGCCTGGCTCTGGCTAAAGGGAACAGAACCCACCTCCTAGAACATCTAAAGCTCCCTGATTAGCTCTTTTTGTAGTAAAACCACTACAGGTTATGTGCTGGACTATTTCTTTGGCATAGCAGCCACTTCCTGGAGTCTACATGAGGTTGCCAGACAACAAGTAATTCAAAGTGAACGTGAACCTGAACGTGTAGAGCTGAGGTCCATACTTTGCACACCACACAGTAACTTAGCCTGCTGGCTAGCAGGCGAGTCACCTGAACACACATACTAACACACTAAGCTCAGATACTGTTTAGACTTTGTTTTGGCTTCCAGCACTCAGAATACTGAACTGCAGCGCCCACAGTGACTCACCTGGGGCTTTTACCTGACTGAGTGTACTGTTTCAGGCCACCTAAGGCTACAATATGCATTTCCCCAAGACAAGCAAATGCATACAAATTGTCCTGAGGACATAAAAGACACCTAAATATCACCTGAGACCTGTTTCACGTGCGGAGGCAGGCAGAGATTAGTAGTGGCAGTCCAGCTGTTTGCAAACTTTAACACAGTAAGGTCAAGGCATGTACTACAGCCACAGATACGCACACATATAATTTTCATTTACTGCTAAATAAAAACTACTGTATAGCCTCAGCTGGTGTTCTTCATACAGCAGGCTATTTCTGGTAAAAAATAAGTTTTCTCACCTCCAGGCTAGTGGGAAGACACCCACAATCTTGAGGTCCCCCTACTGGAAGTAGAACAAATCACTGTTGTTCATATTCTGTAAGATCTTATATGAAATGGATTCTTGTATGAAAATGTTTTACTGCAAAAGTAGTTAAATTGACAGATGTTGACCCACCCCATAAACAAAAGAAGTGCAAACTAAAGCCAGGCATGATGCGAGATGATACACCTGAACTCAAGCTCTGATTGATCCCATGACATCCAGCAATATGTAACTGCACCAGGTACTGTATGCTCAGTGGTCTGCATTAAGACATGTTCTAACAAATGGAATAGGTTTAAACGGCTGCAGTGAATCTAGAGACTAAAACATACAGAGCACTCATTTAAAATTTTGTCTCAAGTTTAAGTTAAGGGGTCAATAAATGTTCTGCATGGCAACATCAACCTTTAAGTTTGAAAACAGAGCACCCATACAAACTTTCTTGCATACGTAACTATCATACTTATTTTAACGAAACCATGATCGCGACCATATCAAAAAGTTAACCACATGTTTCATTTTCAAAGGCTAACCAGACATTGTATATTTATTATTGCTAACTCGACACTACATGTCCAGAAATGATGCTAAAGGGGTAACTGAAGGGACCTCTTGACTCCAACTTCTACAAAATACTGCAGCTCGGCTCTGAATCAGTTCCAAAATATTTGACCATTCTACACCTCCTTATATCTTAGAGCTGCTTTCCCTTTACGACCAAACGCACTGCCTGACGTAGTCAGGCAAAGCTCACGCTAAAATAGGTTTGCTGTTGGAGCTCCCAGTCTCAGTCCGGGGTGTGCTCTGCTCTTGCACGCTTGTACTCATGGTCACCTTTGAGAGGAGGAGTGAGGCAGTATCTGTATTGATAGGAGCTGGGTTAAGGCTTTGTGTTTCCTGCCATGTGCTCCTCTGAGGGTCAACAAAAGACAAATACAGGCACACACTCCCAACACCCACACAAGTCTACCACCTCTCCGAAGTGGTGATGCTGAAACAAGCTGTAAACATAACATACAAACTTGTTAATGAACAGTTGCCCATAAACATCTAGCAGATACGGAGCAACATTAGCATTCATCTTTCTGTCCAGTAGTCTCTCTCTGTTAGCTCTGTGTTTGGTCTCCACCAGCTCCTGAGGGAAATATCTGGCTCTTCAGCTGCTAAATGCTCCACTGTGTTCACCAGCTAGTCCAGAACAGTAAAGCTGCGGGCTAGAAAAGCAAAATAATCAGCAGAAGGACGTTAAGAGCTGTGGGGAACTCCAGAGTCTCCCTTTGTTCTTCACTGTGAGCAACAAAGGATCACACTTGCATGTGAGAGGGGTCCTCTCACATGCAAGTGTGATCCTTTGTTGATGTAAAAATATTTGTTGTAGCTGCTTTAAATGGAGCACCTCTGGATAGAAAATGTAACTTAGGCAGACTACATCTTTGAGCAGTAGCCTTATTTCTATCTATTCATGTCTGAAAATTTAAGGATAGACCTTGGGTACAACTCTCCAATGACATTATTATTACATACATACACTGTGTGTGAGGTAATCCAGATTTGTGATAGAACAAACGGTCTTTTGTCAGCAGTGTACATGTGCTTTGTAAAATCTCACTACTTTTGTGCTCAGGTGTGGCTATCTGAAGGATCTGGAGTGGGACAATCGCTGACCTATATCTGATTATATATGATCAGATTTCTGAAAAGAACCCAGGGCGCTGTATCTCATGCTAGATGATACTGAGAAAGCACTACACACACACACACACACACACACACACACACACACACACACTTTGCCAACTGCATTCCTGAGAGCCAGTGGATTAAAAGAGCCGATGAGGTGTGGCTGCAGGTAGAGCTGCTACGCTCACACAGGGTCTGGGCATTTGTGAACATGTAGTTGAGTTGCTTAAACCTAGGGCGTTAACAAACAATGCATTCCTTGTTGTTTGCACACCTGCATTGCAGTTCAATTCAATTCAATTCAATTCAGTTTTATTTATATAGCGCCAAATCACAACAACAGTTATCTCACTGCGCTTTTCATAAAAGAGCAGGTCTAGACCGTACTCTGTGATGCTATTTACAGAAGCCCAACAATTCCCAAGAGCAGCACTAGGCGACAGAGGCAAGGAAAAACTTCCTTTTAAGAGGCAGAAACCTCGAGCAGAACCATGGCTCAGGGTGGGCGGCCATCTGCCTCTACCGGTTGGGGGTGAAGGAGAGAGAGGGAGAGAGAGGGAGAGAGAAAAGAGAGAGAGAGAGAGAGGGATGGAAGGAGAGAGAGGGGAGGGAGGCAGCCTACACAATATACACACAGAGGTACAGACAGTAAATGAAAAATGAAAAATGGTACAGATATTTATAGTAGTGTTAATGATGATAATCGTAATGTTAATGATTATAATAATGTGGTGTATAATATATGTGCATTTGACTCATAACAGTTTAAAATAGCACTGTAGCAGCTGGACAGAGGGTCAGTGACCTTTGGGAAGAGCAGTGATTGGTGGTTATGTAGGGACTGAACCCTTCTATAGAATTTGACCTCTGACCCCTTGTTTTGTTACCTCAGAATAGTACTGAACCGTTCTATGGTATCTAACCTATATAAGCTATGTTTGATGTACAGAAAGACAGAGTGGTCATCGGGCTGGGTCACTCTCCAAGCTGCTGCAGAGCTTGTAATTGATGCTGAACTCCTTGATGTAATAAACTTTTCTGATCAAGAACAGTGTCAAGTGGATTTCTTCTCAACACATCATCGCAGCATTATTGTTCGGACACCACAATAACAATAGGACTAGTAACAATAGTCGTTGCAGCAGAGGGTGTCGAGCAGGAACACGGGGGCAGCAGGTGACTCGCAACCACAGATCCAGACTCCACGGCTCCAGAGCCAGAAAACCTGCAGGAAGTGATAGGAGGAGAGAGGAGAGAGACGAGAAAGCACAAGACTACCAGAAAGGGGAGAAGTTGTGTTAGTAACATGCAATAATGGGATGAGGTTGCATACAGAGGGAGAGAAAGTAGAGGAGAGAGGAGCTCAGTGCATCATGGGAAATCCCCCGACAGTCTAGGCCTATAGCAGCATAACTAAGGGATGGTTCAGGACTCACCTGAGCCAGCCCTAACTATAAGCTTTATCAAAGAGGAAAGTCTTAAGCCTACTCTTAAATGTGGAGATGGTGTCTGCCTCC